ACTGTGTAGTATAGTATGGTTGTCTTCTTGGTCCTGGCTATCACAATACTATCAGGCACCCAGATTATCAGAGAAAAAAACTTTATCAATTGGAGCAGTGCTGGAAAGCAGAATCCATAACAAAGTAACATAACAGTACTTTTATTTATACAGCTCTCCCAGAGCCAAGGCACTATATAACATAATGAAACACTTCTACTGAAAAACAAGACCCCAGAAAATAAGATTCAAAAATTAAATCTCCTGGATAGTTTTTGCCTTTGGCCCAAGACACACATCACAGCTCATGCTGACTGAAACCCACTCAAAGATGGAGCTTAAATCAAGAAGTCTGCAAAACACCTCTTGTACTCCGAAGTACGCAATGGGCCCTGTGGGTTATGCCTGCATATGGGCAAGGGTCTGCATCCAGACCACTGCAGGCTGCTGTTTGGTCATGGTGAGGTCTTGTTTCCATGTGCAAGGCTGGAGCACAGGACTTCAACAGCAACACTTCTGGGGTCCTGGGCTATGCGCGTCTGTGGCTGCAGAGCTGAAATCTGGTGAAAGCTGCCTTGAAAGTAACAGGAATAAGCTTTTTGAAGCCTTGAGTAGGAATCCTTCACCATAAGCCAGAAGAACTATAAAATTAGAAGTTGACATGCTGGTAGTGATGGAAGGTCTGAGCCATGTTCTATGAACAGAGAATTTCACACCTGCCACTCCTCTCCTGACCAGGACCTGTTGAACCATGCTTTGCAACTGGAGCAAAGCACATGAATTCTGGGATTCCTGAGGGGCTTGTATTGGTCCCCACTTTCAGTCCACCCCCAGATGGCTCTGCCCATCCAGTTGTGCTCCGTCTGCCTCCTTCCCATGGCTGCCCCCAGCTGAAGGGCTCTTCTTTCTGCCCCAACACCAGAAAAAGCTGGTAAGTGCAAGGAAGGGTTGGGGGACCCCGGCTCCATCCATTGGAAAGCCTACACACTTCTTCCCATCTTGCCCACTCCTGTTTTCCCGCAACTATCCCTGCCCCCAAAACGGTCCCAGAGCCTGGCAGTGCCAAGGGAAAGCCTTCCTACCAGCAGTGTGGCAAGCTCTCACCAAACACAGGAATCATGTCCAACCTGGGGGCTGCAAAGGCTCAGAAGCAAGAATTTTGTCAGGGTTGGCCAGTACAGTGTTTCTGAACACTTGTCATCTATTTATTTGATGTCTTTGAATAACAGCCCCTTTCTCAAAGAGCTTCCATAAGTAGGCCCTTCATAAAAAGATGTTTTATTTTCAGCATGCCTCAGTGAAGATACTAATTAGAAACCCACAGATACTGGAGACAAAATTTGGTCTAATACCACTTATATTGCTATGCCAAATGTTAATGGTCAGTTTGGAGTTTAACATCCTGCTTCCTTCTGAGATGATTTAGCTTCAAATGTACTGCCTTGCTGTTATAAAACTTAACATCCCCTCTTAACTAACTTCTTCTATGTTACAACCCTTCTTACCTGAGATCTTGGAAATTCCTTTTTTCTTTTCTATCTTTTTTGTTTTCTTGTTTTCTATATTTGTGGCTGAGGTCTGGGAAATTGCTCTGTACACCCTCCCAGCTGTGCCTGTTCTCAGTTCAATATGTTGAATGGACAGACAATGCAAGCCTACTGCAAGCCACAGCCTGCGTGTTTCAATTGGAAGTTTGCTATCAATTTTGAAGGGCCTTGGGGTCTGACTGATGGAAAGGGGAAGCACAGATGGGGAGAATAAGTGAGGGTGTATGCAAATAGCCCCATGCTGTGTGCATGTCTAAATGAGCCCATGGTGTATGGTGATTCCCCTTTGCTGCACTTCTCATTGCTCTGATTTTAGAGCAGCAACAGAGGTACATCACTAGTACCACCCCAGCACAATCCTCCTCTAGCCAAAATATTTCTTTACTAGCATTATTTCTTGGCTTAGAAAAATCCTCTTTTTAGTCTGGTTTTGTTTTGAACAAGTGTTTCCCAAAAGCATTTCCCAACTGAATAGTAAAAGGAAAAAAAAATCTACATTGCACTGAAAAGAAAAATCAGTCCCTGCTGTTAAGCTCTTATATTCTGAAAGCAGAATTAACGAAATGAACATTGTCTAATTAAAGAGACCTTCATAACTTTAGGATCAAACCTTCAGATGGAAGTCATCAAGTTGGGATAGCATGATGCTGTCAGCTCAGGCTGCATGTAGCTGTTGAACCTGCATTCCCAAGAAAGACACTGAGGTCAGGAGATGACTTTTTAATAAGAAACCCTAGCCTGACACTTGAGAAAACCACTGGACTGTGGAAACTCTTTGTCCTTAACAGGGCTAAGAGCAGGCTGAAGTCTTGCCAAGTTCTTCACCATCTCCCCCTCCCGTCGGTTGCAACATCTCTGCCTTAGGAGCACTGCGATTAACAGTGTTGGTCACAGTTTAGATCTGCCCTTGAACCTTTGGGCTACTGCTCTGGCAACCTCTGCGACCCTGGTATTGTCAATATGTAGAGGTATGTTCAGCTGTATGTGTGCTGTTTGAGTCCCTCACTTTCATATCCTGCAGCAAAGCCATTATAAACCCAACTTAAGCAAGCAGCCTATAAGCCAAATTGATGTCTATGCCAATAGAAATAAAACTTTACTGTGAATCTTCCATGGTCTTTTTTAAGTCACATGAAGAACTTGCTCTTTGGTGCTTGACTTCATGCAATTGCTTACATTTTAAAAATTATTATTACTATTGGATAACCTTAAAGGGTTTATTAAATGTGACCCACTGAATATGAGGGAAAGGGATTTTCATCCCTCACTGTGGAGGACCACCACTGAACTCTTGAACAAAAGTGTGGTAATATTTTGAGACAAAAATATTTTCCTATGAGATACTCTGTAGGAAGACACTGATTAAACTAGTCAGTATTTACAGAAATGTGCCAGCTTTTCTAAAGCCTGATAGGAAGTTTCTGTTTGAAAGTGTTAGAACTGCTAAAAATTAGCTTAATATCTCCAAAATTTCATTTTTCAAATACTATGGGAATGATGTTGATGTCATAATTTGGGAAAAGATTTTGGAGAAAACATTGAAAATTTAGAGAAATGGAAATTTTGCTTTGCCACCAACTATAACCGGTATGTAGACACAGCCCTATCAAAATAAATGATACATCTTACCACTAAAACAAAAAAATTGTCTGAGACACATTCACTACTCAAACTTCAGTGGAAGTTTTACTTAAACAGGGGGTATAGCATTCAGTTTCTACAGTCTGAACAATAGTAAGTCTAGAGCTCAGAATATGTTGTTAACACCATTTGGAGGGCTGTTTTATTTTTTAAATATAAACTCTCAATTGCTCAAGCAAAAAACGTACATTTTTATATGCAAGTGGTTAGTCAAATGCCCCCGCAATTCTGCAAGAATGAACTGGATGACATAAATAGTAATTTCATATTCAGAATCTGAATAATGTATTTGTACTTACTACTCACTACAGCACGTGTGTAGCTCATTGATGGACAATTCATAATGCTTTCTTAAAAGAAGTATGAATGATTGAAACTGAGCATTCTTAACAAAAACAGACGTGGGTACATCTTTTGGGAAAAATGTCAAATACGCATTGACTTTTCCTATTTTGCCAGCACCCAAATGAGAAGAGGAAAAACTGCTGTCGCTGAAGCATTTAAGAAGCTGATATTTATCTTTCATCAAATAATAATTTTCTTTGAGTATTAGTGCAGTCAATCAGAATAAAAATTTTTGTACATGCACAGAAGAAAGCATTACCGGTATATGAAACATGGGTAACAAAAAGCAGAAAAGTAATTTCAACAATCCTGAATTAGTAATTTCATTTTCCTTCAAGAGCAAAACCTAGGTAAAAACCCAAGAAAAGCTATAAATACCTCCACTCTACTTCTGTCACATAACTACAACCCAATTTTTTACACAGCTGTGTCAGGACCAAGTCTCTCACCTAACCTCACGTGTGTCTCCATGTATGTCAATATGGAGGAAGACCTGTTGTTATCACAGGCATTACCATCCATGGTGTGGTGGGTTAATCTTGGCTGGCTGCCACATACTTACCAAGCTGCTGTCTCACTCCCTCAACTCAACAGGTCAGGAGGAGAAAACAAGATTAAAAAGCTTAGAAAGCTGATACACCCACTGTCCTCAGAGACAAGTTGAATGCCTTCTACTTTAAAAAGTCAGCCACAAACACTGAAGAAGGAAGCATGAGAGGTGAAAAAGAAAGGAAACAGCAAAATCCTAACAGACAAATGCTGACATTCATGAGAGAAACATCGAAGTCACCTGGTAGTACTAAGCTCCCTAATTTCACTGACTGAGGGGGGTTGTTTGAGCAGTGAGTTTAGGAGCTGCATTTAGACTTCTGAAGGCATAAGTAATCTCACAAGAGAGCTTTGGCATGGAATGGTTCTGAAACTCCTCTAGGAGTCTATGCTCTGAAATGTTATCTGAAACTTTTGTCAACTGTCCCAGAGCATTAAGACAAGATTTCAGATGTACAGAAGAGCTGTGGGGATCACACTCATGGGCTCCTCCATGACACCGTGCAAGTTCTAGCTTAGGGCAACTCACACGTCACAGTCACATAGTTTAGCATATAGTGCTAGGGGTTTTGGGGATGGAGAAAAATCTTTCAACACAGAAGACCATGGGTTAGGGCTACTCTTTATGTCTTCTATACATTACTAGAGAGTCATCTTTGGAATAGAGGTGCACTGTTATTTCAAGTTCAGTGCTTTCCCTTCAACAGCTGAAGGTTTGAGGACTCATTCAACAACTAGTGAAATCACTTCCCTTGCTTTCCAGCACACTTTTTTTCTTCAAATCTTAGCTTTGTAGGGGGATTGGAAAGCTTAAACCCAAATTCTGTGCTTTGTAGTGACACAGCTGTCTCTGAAGTCATGGAACATTGTAGTCAACACATCTGAGTCTAGCATTTGACCAACTGCTCTTACTTCCAAAGGAGGCAAATCATTGCCAGACATATGCCCTTCAGGAAAGGATACCAAAATGCCAGTTGTTCTCTGTGAACATACTAGAAACCAGCAGGGACTGCAGGTTTCTGCACAGCCATGCTGTGGCAGAAATCATTCTGTGAGGGCTGCAGTGCAGCCATGGCCTTCAGGCTGGAGTTATACCTGATGACCACAGCTGATGGGAGGGCTGCTTAGTGATTTGAACTGTAAGGTCTGAAAGGAGGTAAGTCAGCAGGGCAAAAGAAATTGACAATGCTGGATCACCATGAGACACAAGTGTCTGTCCAACCAGCCCAACCTCTTTCCCTCATCCCCTTGGGAAGCCCATTGTAATGCTGTATCTAGGAATGACTCCCAGCTCGCTTATGGCCCCTTGGCTTTCTGAGGTATGTGGCATATGTTTCACAGCTCTTTGCCACATGAAGATTAAGACAGTCATGATGGCCATCCCTCTTAGGCTGAGAATGATGCTTTGAGGCTGCGGGACAGTTCATTAACTGGAGCAATAGTCAGCAGAGACTTGGAGATTCTCTAATCAAGGCAGTCAGCAGCTGATACCCAAATTGAAGACACAAACCTTGCACTAGAACAGGTTAGATTCTTTGTAGCCAACAATCTGATGAAAAAGCAAGTCCTCTTTTTTTTTTTTTTCCTAGAGCATGTGCAAGCAGCAACATTTCTACAGAAATACCTTTGCTACTGAAATCAGTTCTACAAATAGCTTATGCGGAAGAAGGGAGGGAGGTCCAGTCACACTAGTTTCGTGGATTGGTCTAGTGAAAGTTCCCAGATCTCAGTGGGGAGAAGACATGAATTCTCTCTTGCTGGTGTTAAATGGATCCATTGAAAAGGTGAAATTTTCCCAGAGAAAAAAATTGAGGCATTTCTGATGTGAGTAGTAGAAAGGTTATTTTTACTGAAAGCTTAATTTTGCTCATTTCAGTGACTGTAGAACGCAAATGGCACTACTCCCAGTTTTGTCCATATTTTCCAGTGCTCCCTATCCAGAAACTTGTAAGTCTGAGCATAAAATAAAGATCTGGAAGAGGATCTTTTCCTACTTCCTGAACATTCATGGATAACTACTGCCTTTCTAGTGGGAATGACGTGTTGCTGGAAATAGCAGGTGAGCTAGAGCTCAGATGTTCTTTGGGAACCCTCTTGGGTCCTGGCAAGGAAACAGACATTTCCAACAGCAAGAATGGTGTGTGACATGTAGCTGTGGGGGCAGATGGGTCTCTTTCTGGTGACCTGTTTCACACCCCCAGTGGGTCACCGAGAGTGGGTGACAAATCAAACCTGATCATCCCCCTGCTTCCTGGTCAGTGATTCAAAACTGCAACTGCTCCTAATAAGACCTACTCAAATCAGAGCTGATGGGATCCTTTCCCTGATAAACACCACTTAAAGGGTTGCTTTCTTGTTTTCCCTTCTCCAAGGGATGCTTACTGACAATACCTGCCTCCACTTATGTTGTACAGGGCATTTTGAATCTGTTTGCTGTTTAGCAAATTCAAAGCTGCAGTGTAAGAAGATGCAGGGGGTTCCTAGAAGTACTGAAATGTCAGACTTCATGTATGTCAAGCCAGTAAAAGAAGGCTGATTCGTAAACCCACACTGAACAAATGAGTTGTTACCACTCATGCAGTCCTAGAGGATACTAGAAAAGTGAAGGCCAATTGAAAGGAGAAAGGTGCACTCTGTTATGAAGCCATGTTGCTTGGAGGTGCAATGAAGGAACAGCAAGTCAGAAGTTCCTTGGGTTAGGTGTTAGGTGTTTTGGTCCCTTCTTTCCTCCCCTTTCTTCTCTGAGAGATGCTCTGCTTCACTGGACCACTCACCTGGGGTTTTTGGGATGAGCAGGTATGACTGCATGGATGAAAACATACTGAGCCTTGGGTGTCACTATGAAAAAAGACTGACTTCCCAAGAGAGATGGATAATCTATCAATCATCTGTGTGAAGGTCCCAGTCAAGACTCTAGTGTATTATTTGTAGCGGAAGCATGTAGAGAAGACATGGAGCTGTTGTTAATCCTGTTGTATCTGGGGGACACTGAAGAACATATCTTCAAAGGCATTTAAAAACCTATTCAGTATTAGGGTTGGAGCTTTGGAAATTTGGACTACAAAAGAAAATATTGAAAGAATTGCCTAAAACCTCATATGGAGGACTATTATGGAGTCAGTTGGGTATGCGCTGCATGTGAGGTACTAAGGATCTAAAACCAGAAGGATAGTCTGAAAAATTTTTCAAACTCAGTAAAGTTGTGCTGTGCTGAAAAGCACATTGCTATTTCTAGTTTGTAGTCTCCTGTCTCTGTGCATATATACATAATTTGAAAATCAGACAGTCTTTCCACTTACGGATCCAAGTGATTGCTAAGTCTAAACGACATGGTCAGCATTATGGCAGAGTCTTGTGTGAGACAAGGCTGTGCATTAAACTTATCTCTTTCATTTCTAAGCTTAATGGTTAACTAAGAGTTGCCTTTCTTACCCCTCTGCTGATATTGAGTCATATAAAGCAGCAGTCACACAAGACCAAGACAACTGGAAACTTAAATTCTAAGTAGTACAGGTGTTAACAAGAAAATATATTTTTGTACCCTCTTCCCTGGGACAAGCTGTCTCTGTTGCAGCCTTTGATTCTGCATTCACTGGGAAGTGAGAGTCCTCAAGTATTTCAAACAAGGAGACAAAATAACTCAGGTTAAAAAGTATAGGGAGGATGAATAGATGGCAAAGATACACAGACATTTGTAACACAACAAATTTTTGCCTAGCTTTATACCGAAAAAAAAAAATCAAGGTTCATTGAAAGATACGATTTCTCATTGTTGATGTTTCCAGTATTGGGAGTGGCTGGAACATGAGTTAGTGTTTTCAAAGCTGGTTTGCCTCATACTACTGATGGCGCCCGCAAAGATTATGCATGTATGAGTTTTCATTTCTCTGTAGCTGCAGTTGGCTCTGACACTGGAACAGTACATTTCAGAACACCATCCTGCAGGGATGCTGGATGTGCAGAGCAGCATGATCCTACTGAACTGTCACAAGTGAGAACAAGCACCTTCACCCTCATCCTCTTCTGTGAGTGCATGCTGTCACTTCTCAAGAAGACAACTGGTTGAACTGCTGTTTTCCTTCACAGAAAAGGCCAGAGACATGGAGGGAAGAGGAGGAAAAGCACAACCCAGCATAAGAAGGTGTCTACTGCTCCAAATGAACTGCAAAGATGTCAGGCACATCATGCTTTCTCCAAAGACAGCCTCTGTGATATCCCTGACAAAATCATTGTTGTATAGTAAATCCCCTGGTGGAGTATCAAGTCTGCTGCTCCTACTTAGGACAAGAAATACCCAGTTCAGCCGGCACCATCAATGCTCAAGGGTTAGCCGTTGCCAGCTCAGCTTCCTACCATCTCCCTCAGCACTATGCCCAGGATGAGCATCAGCGCAGTGTCGTGGGGAGACATCACTGGCCTAAGGTTGCCTAGCTGGATTTGCCAGATGCTGATGGGTTGGAGAGGTTTCAGTCTGGGGAGAAGGGAGCTGGGCTCAGAAGCAGGATGGCTGCAGGACACTGTAGCCCTGGGTAAAACTAGTGGGGAAACTATCCCTCCTCTGCCTCTGGCTCCACAAAGTGGGTGGCCACCCCTGCTGCCCCATAAGCAGAAATCCACCACTTCCCTGGCCCTGCTGATAAACAGGAATTGGGGGCTATTAGAACTTTCTATTTCTGTAACAGCAACCAACCAGTTGGTGAATCCAGGTTTGGGCAGACCCCTGAGTGGTGCTGGGGACAGCTCGCTTGAGAGCAGCGAAGCAAGGTCCTGGGTGATCCAGCCTTGTCTGGAGGCTTTGCTGCAGGTCAGTATGACTGTTCTGTGCCTCGCACAGGGGAGGTACCAAGGTACCATTGCTGTGAGGACAGTCTGAGGTGATGATAGACAGCCCATGCCACTTTGCGGTGAAATGGGTGAGGGCAGTGCGGCCTCCGAGCTGCCATGGCTGTGGCACTCAGCCCTCCCTTAACTCCCATGCCTCAGGTTCCCTTGCACAGTGCAGGCATGCTGGCACTCACTCCTGCTTAGAAAGGGGGAAAAGAACCCCACATTTTGGATGTGTTGAGGAGCTGGAGGTAGAAAGCTTCCCATTTACTAACAGGAGGCAGTGAGAAGTTTCAAAACAAAATCGGAGAAAGGGAGGGGAGGTAGGCACTTTTTGGTGGAAAAGTTTTGTGTCTCAGCTGTTTGGATATGTTTTGATATTAATAATCTGGATTCACATTTTCTTTCTTGTTATCACAACATTATTTGTTTCTATCTGATTTAATTAGTGAAGAGCCGGTTTGTTCCCATGTTGAAGCAGGTGTTCCATGCTCTTCCCCTTGGCAGACAGTACCGGTGCTCATCTCCAGGCATGATGGCAGCCTCCTAGCCAACATTTGGTAAGGGCAATTAAGGGTGCTGGGATTTAATCTGCTTCCCTGCAGGTGCACTGGCTGGCCTATGATTTAACCAACTACATCCATTGCATGTGTATGCAGGGAAGGGACTATCACAGCGAAAGGCACTGCAGGGGCAATGGTACCACCGTGTGAAGATCTGTTTTCTAAATCAGCCTTGCAAGGGATGCTTAGCTCTGTGGCTTTTGCCTGAAAATCTGGGTTTCTTCTTGGCCATTAGCCGTGCCTCCTGCCCCATCCCAACAGTCTCCCAGCACCTTCTTGAGAGTAATTTAGCACAGTTCACTGCCCATACAGGGGAGTTTTGAGGCAATGCTATTGCTTTCTCAGGCTTTTAATTCACAGTTTGGAATTAAGGAAACACAGGAAAGAGAGGCAACACCACCTCAAAAGCCCCCACCTCACTACAAACCATGAAAGCATCCTTGAGGATATTCCACAACACAAGGGCACTCATACTGTGTGCAACCTGATTCTGCCAGGGAGCTGAAGGAAGTATAGCATATTGCTTCCTGCTGGCTTTGGCAGTGATGGCACAGGGAGCAAATGTTCAGACCTGCTCAGAGCAGTGTGAAGATCCCACAAGTCTAGTGGCCAAAAATATTTCTGCAGCCCAGAAGGCACTTGGAGGCAGTGCTGTGTCCTGAGACGGTAGGATTTCTGTGCAGCATGCGTGTCGTTGTTGTAAACATGAGATATGTACCCAGACAACAGTGTGTGCCTGGGGAATTGCAGACAATAAAGAAAAAATGTAGAAACTGAGAGTGTGACAAGGCTGCTTCAGATAGGGATGAGTAACAGAGGAGTGGAGCCTAAGCAGAGCACTTGCTAGAACAGATCTAGATCTGGGTATTATTGCTCCTTCAGCCCAGTGCATGAACTTCAAGGATGGAGAGCGTTTCACTGAAAACATATTTATGTAAGACAGGGAGAGGGGAACTGGTCTGGGGGCTCCTGGCTCAGAAGCAAGAAACCTCGCATATTTTCAGAACAGCAAAGGTTTGCAAATGCTACTGACAGCCATTGCCATTGTGCTCAACTTTGCCTCTTTCACCAAGAGACACGTACATGCTGAGACCCTGCAGCACTTACAAGCCTTTGTTTACATATTCCAGGCTTCAAGTACTTGCAATTTTGTGGCCTGCCCCACACACCCTAAAAACTTGTCCTTAACAGTTATCTCTGGATTTGAAACTCCTGTTAAAACAAAAACAACTGGTTTTGGCTGCTCTGCCAAACAGTTTTTCTCCATAAAAAGAAGCCTGATTTTTCTCTCCGGGTAAAGTAAAAGGTTACAACAATATTTAGGTTGAACTTTCTTGAGATCAGGCATTTATTTTTGCTCACTCTCTCAGCGTGTGCATGTGTAGATGGAAAGTACCTTAAAGTGAGTCAGCATTACTCAAAGTGAATCATTGGTCACTGCTTCTCTGGGATGTTATTCAGTGTTGCATGCAAGTTTTCTCTTCCTTCCAAGCCAAGACGGGATTATTTATGCTGGTTTTAGACTGCCATAGACATTAAGGAACTGGCTTAGAAACCAAAGACTATCTCATACCCACTCGTGTCTTAGAAACCAAACAAAAGACTATTTTATACCCACTGGTGTCTTGAGGGAAGTCCTGGTAACAGACCACTGTACCACTACTACAGTAGTAATGAGAAATAGAAATCATCTCCTCTCCAAAACAAGAGGCTTACCTCCACCTGGATTGGTCTATAGCATCACGGAAAAGTTTGTTTCTTCATGAAGCAGCAGTATGTCCAAACAGAAGCAGCAGAATTATCAGGGCTCTTACCCCTTTTTCTATCATTAGATCACGCACCATCTGAAGCCCCAGGGCAGTGTAGATTTTGAAGTAAATTTAGAGGGCACCTAGGAAACATAGAGGAAAGAGAAAAATATGCACAGCAAGGGTCTTGTAGAAGCAGGTTTAATTTGTTACCTGCTGTTTACTTCAGATTCAATTCCCAGGACACATGCTGGAGTACAAGGATAAATTTATGACACTAGGTAGGTTGTCCTTGTTGGGAATGATTTAAAAGCGTGCGTTTTCTCTGTGAGCAGATTCACTCAGTTTGTACCATGGACACAGGAGCTGTTAGTCTGCCTTTTTAACAGCTGCCTGTAACACTGTGGGGAGGCTTTTCCTTTCCATTTCAAGAAACCACAGCCTTTTCTTTAAATCAGATGCCAGTTCCCACAGTAACCTCTTGGTGAAGAGCTGTGTCTCCTTTTTTCAGCAGTCGCTTCCCTCTCCAGCAAAGAGTGGTGACATTTCCCTGTCCCAGGCTTGCAAGCAGCAATGTCCCAGCATTGCTCCGTCAGCCATGCTGACCCACTGCAACAGCCAGGCTGTCTCTGCCAGGGCTGCTTGCATGGGTAATACCTTGGCACTTTACAAGCATGATGCTCTGAGCAGGGGGAAGGGAGACCATATCATGTCTCCTGGGCCACACAGGACCTGGCCCAAGGGGCTGTTGCTCCCTGATGTTGCTTCTCTGGCTGCCCATGACAGAGTCCAGATAATCAGTATTTCCTGCACAATGGATATAGCCAGTGTCGTAGTCAACCTCCTCTGACTCCAGAGGGTACTTAAAACAGCAGCACTGGCCTAGGAGTGAGGCTGCCTTATATGCCTCCACTATTTCCACTAAAACTGAAGTATGGAGGAAATGCCAAATTTGGTTTACTTTGTCAGGCAAAAGTGACCCTATTTCATGGAGAACAGGAGTAAAGTATGAGCTTTATTGTGTTTTCACTTTCTTCAAGCAGTTCTGTATTCAATATGAATGCTAGAAAACACGTTTGTGTTCAGTGTATGCTGAGGGAAAGGTATGTGTGTGGATCTGCTGGTCTGGTGAGCCAAGGCTGGCGAGAAACCAGAAGCCATGGTGTGTTTCTTCCTGCTCCACAGCACTTACCAATACTCCGAGATGCATGGGGTAGATGAGCAATTCTGGTACTGGGTAGACACCCAAACAGTGCCTCTCAGGAACCCTCCCCCTGGCCATATACTTAGACTGTGTCCAGCAACCCCTATGGTTTTGACTCCTTCAAAAGGTGGGTGCAGTTGAGAATGGAGCTGGGGAGCTGGAGGAAGTATTCAAAAGTGCTCCCTCCATTGAAAAGTGACGTGATGGGTGGCAAGGGGGGATTTCCCTCACTAACATGGCTGTTTCTCTCCTCCCCTTTTGTCAGCCCCATGGGGACTCATTCAGGAGCTGAACAGCTGGAGAGGCTACTCATGCCTAGTGTCAATGGGAGTGGGAAAGGCAGCCAACAAATCTGTGGAGCTCACTGCTGTTGGCTGGAGAGAGGGTGAGGAAGAGCCCTGCTGGTGAGTGGCTTGGGAAAAAGAGAGAGAGGAAGAAAAAAGAAGTTAAAATAGGGACAAGAACTCAGGCATTTATGAATGACTTGGCATAGAATCTGCTCTTGGATGCAGTAACTGACACAGAGTTTCCAGCAGCCTCACGTGTCTGAAGGAGAGTGTCTAGTATGCCCAAGATGCCTGTTGCTTTAGTCACTTCACTTCCGGAGAAAGGCTGGGTGTAGGGGAAACAACCCATCATTTACAAAAGTATCTATTTTTTAAAAGAAGTCTGTGAAGCAACTACAGCTATGGGAGTGATGTTAGGACAGCCTTCCTGCACAGTATAGAGCAAGGCAAGGGGTGGATTGGAGCTTGTAGTCTTTAATCTTTGGAAATTCAGCGTGTGTCTGAGTTGCTGAGAAATTGGTATCCTTGGATTTAGACATGGAGCACTATCAAGCACTATTTACTCTCCTGTTATAGTGGAGGTAAAGTCTACTTTGTGCTTGTAGAACAGCTGAAAGCAACAGCAACCTCATCATAATAGGATCATTCTGGATCTGTTTTCATATAATGAAATTGCATAAAATTGTTTCTTAAACACAGTGATTGCAAAATTTCTTGG